GTGTGTGTGTGTGTGTGTGTGTGTATACACACACACACACACTATATCTATATCTATATATATCTATATAGATATATATAACTGCCACTCCTTGGTAGAGAAGGTGAAAAACCTCGTAAAACTACAAATCCCAGCATTGCAAAGGATGCATCGTATACTGCCTTGAGGTCTCCCACTGCCAGGCTAGAAATGCCGTGACAATAAAGAGTTCAACGGGGCCCTCCAGGAGGCGAACTACAAATCCCAGCATGCGCATTGATCTGTTATAGAACTGTGTTAGCTAACGGAGCGGATCAAAGTACACGCTCAGGGCGCAAAATGGTAACAGAGGCATAAATCTTTCTTCCAAATGACTTGTGACTTTCCAGGTTTCTGCGGGCGCCTCTATCATCCCTTGAGGCAATAGCGCAGGTAGAACCGGGTAGGAAAACCGTATAATTAACATTAACAGCCGTATTATTGCTCTCCTTTTCTCCAGTTTCAGCCAGGAAAGTCATTCTCCACTAAGGTTAGTAATTTTAGCCAATTTTTTCCCCATTGTTTGAAAATGAGACCGTTTCTGATTCCTATTTGGGACACAGGACTTCTTCTGTGCAAAATTCGCACACAGTTCTTTTTTGCATAGAAAACAGAAGTTTCTCTGCAGGAAAGAGCAAAGAGATATGATTTCTTGTGCAGAAATGCCATTGTCTGTCCAAAGCAACCCTGTGCAAATTTTTGCGCAGAATATGTTCCCAATCGCAGCATTTATTTGTTTTGTTTTGTTTTGTTTTGGAAGCAATTGCTTGGAAAATGCACATGTGACCATGGAAAATGCACATTTTGCATGGAATAAGTTCTCAGTTCTAGCATTCCCTGAACAGGAAGCAACATTTATTCAGAAGAGGTTCACCGTTGCCTTTCCCTGAGGCTGAGAGAGTGTGACTTTCCCAGGTAGACTACAGTATTTAGGCTCAAGAGAAGAAGCATATCCTTTTGTTCCCACAAGAGGGCGCTCAATGCCAAGGGTTGCTCCTCTATGCCTCTTGCTGCAGGAAAGAGAGAAAAATACAGTTTTTCTGGGACTTGGAATTGTTTTCATTGGATATATGGGGCAGGGAGGGGAGACAATATTGGTCTTCCAAAGGCATGCAAGTATTTTGGCTGACTGTGTATAGAAACAACCCTGGCATCTTTGCTTTGGTATTACAGCTGCAGAACTGTAATAAAAAACAACACCACAATGCCCAGAATCCACAGAATGTCCAGGAATTTTGGACTTCGATGCCCAGAAGCCCCAAGATGTCCAGGAA